TTCCTTTCTTCTTGACTGGTTTTGGGCAGAATTAGGCAATGAACTTGTTGTAATTTTGCTTGAATTTTTTTGTAGGGTATAATCAATGTATCTACTAATTTGTTTTTTGATGGAACTGTTCTACAATGTTGGACTAGATGCCTTATAAATGGGGTGTGGTGAGCGTGTGTGAGAGAGACAGAGAGAAGCTGAAGAAGAAAACTTTCTTTTTTCAGCATATACATACTTCAAACCCATCTCACACTTCACCATTTCATGAATAAACCCCCTCCACTGCATGATTCTCATATACCCATTTCAAACCGATGATATTGAATTCTCTGTAGCCATCACAGACTAAACAAGCCCATACCATGGATATGCCATTTCAAAGTTTTCAAACCCAGCTGGCATTCCAAATCATAGAGACACTTAAAGCTATCCAAAGGTTTCAGCAACTAAAACTTTGTTAATCATGAAACAATACTGTCACCATGAAGGGAAGGGGATTCTTGTAAATTGTAAATGCTTCTGTTTTACAGATTACACAATGCCTTTTATGCGTACATACATATGCACACACGCGCGCACACATATATTTGAAGAGATATGAGAGAGAGAGGCAACAGACTAAAGAAGAGAGAGAGGTAGTTCTGTACTTAAAAACTTAAAAGGGTATTTTTGTCCTCAAAACATGACCTTTGACCTAGCAAGTCTACAAACACACCCGGTTAAGTTGGTGGAAATTGTAACCATGCACTCTGGTCCACAAATCACATGATGGTTACATGGCTATTTTTTAGCATGAGGCAGGTAAAGTGCAAAAGGCCTAGCCCATGTCGGATCAAATGAAATTTTACCCATGATTTTTTCTTTTGAATAAAGTCAAGAAACTCCAAACCATGCAAAATAGAAAGACACCAAAAAATTCATTCATTTTGCCATTCTTACTTTAAAATAATGAAACATCTTTATGATGCCGTATGTCAAATTTTAAATTCCACTCAAATGTGATTACCGAATAAGGGTTGATCACAAAGCCATGAAATTCACATTCAAGATCAAGCTTTCCCTAAATAATTAACCTTGTCTCCATAAATTCACTGAGAGAGAGAAAGTATTTGAAGAAAAGAAAATAATGTCCATTTAACTAGCAGCATAACAACCAGTAGAAGAAGTATTCCTTGCCTTATTCCAGAAAGAAATGAACACTGGAGGACCTTCATTGCCACTGGCTTAAAAGGTAATAGAGCCAAATCGTCATCCACTCCTTCCTGCACATTGTACATGAAGGATGCCACCAAATAGGGGCAGATACACTTAAATCATGCCAATTTTAGTCATGCTTAAAGTCAAACTAAACAGTTTAAAAGTACAAATAGATATGTCATCCTAGACAATGCAGTAAAGTAATTATTAACCAGAAAAATTACCTCCACAACTAGTAAAGAGTTTTGATCCATACACCAACGTCGGAGCAGATGAATGACAGGTCCAAGCCGCAGACTCCAATGAGGACAAAATACTATACACGGTTCCTGCCAAATTTTTCTATGGACATACAATCAGTTCCCAGGTGAAAAGTATGGAGCAAAAATGAATATGTTGCGAACATCTCAGTCACATTTAGGTGGATTAAGGAAGCACTTTTCTTTTTCAAATGCATTCCATAGAAATGTTCCTCTTTGCCTACATAAGTTAACATGTTTCCAGCAGTCAATATTCCCTCCTGCTTTTATTTTTTCCTAGGTGGAGGTTGTGTGCATGTGTTTGTTTTTTCTTTTTGAGAAAGTAGGGGGGAAGGGGGGGCCTCTGAAAGGCAATTTCCCAACATATAAAGGGAAGTAAATATCTTACAACAGTTTGAGCGAATGAATTCAGGAAACAAATGGATCTTTTTCTCTTTGATAAGTGCCCCGTGAGCAAACAGTGGCTCACCAGAGTACAGCTGCAAACCCCATTAAAAATATTCAGTAGCACGTTTCAACTTAAAAGCACTTCATAACTCTTCTAAGATCTGCAATGAAGAATCTTTGAATGTAACTACCTTTTCTTGCCGCTGCTTGCATAGCCATTCAGGTATGATATTGGAGAATGCCAACAATTCTTCTGCTACAGAAGAAACGATATATATGGGAACCTACGGCATGAAAGAACAGTTCAAGTTCGGTGCCAACTATTATATTTATCTGTATGATCACATACTAGTTCTTCAACTTCAATTACTAAGGATAAGCCCACAAGTAGCTTTAGTAAGAGGCACCAACAAAATTCAAACTGCTTGATGGTCATATGCATATATATAGGTGTCTCCGAATAGGTTATAAATAGACAGTTTGGCCATTTAGTTGCTTTTCAGAAGTTCTACACACATACTGACATACACAGGACTGAGAAGAGCCAAAAACAAAGAAAACAATACTAAACACACACACAATATTTAGAAGGATTAATGATTATGATGGCCAACATAACCACCATATATAAAACACATATATACACACAGTATATCTATACAGTTTGGCCATTTATTTGCCTTTCAGCAGTTTTACACCCATACTGACATAAACATGACAAACGAGTAAAAAAACAAAGAAAGCCATAATTAACACAAAGACAAATTTTTAGAATGAATTGATGATTATGATGGCACCAACACAAGCACCATTGGACCTTTAACCTCTTTGAACCCAAACTGGCACTATTGGCAAAGTGGCCTAGACATAATTACACCCCTACGACCAAAGAACGAATTGGAGGGAGCTAAGCAACAGGAGGGAAAATGTAACTATATAAAATCAAGAAATTCCTAGCTCCTACCCACTTGTAATTGACAGAATTTGGCAAATCATAATTTGAGTCTATAATAAGCGTGGTACGGTCAGGTAAAGAAAATAAAATAAACATATTTTTAAAATGCTCATCTTCAGTTCCAGAACATAAACTTCAAAAGAGTGAAAAAACGAGGAATTCAATTCGGAAAGAAAAAAAAAAGGCATAGTCTCATTCTCATAGAATGTTATCTCATCAACTTGAGATGCATTAGTGACACATTCATCCTTATGCAGTCAAATATATGTAAATACAATATACCTTCAAATTTGAGGATTCAAGGGAAAAAGATATCTGCTCTAGAAGCTGCAAAATAATTCCAATTCGTCCAATTGGGATTAAGACTGAACCTCCAGCCTTAACAGAATCTATGGCACATGAGCATACAAAAGCTAATTTCTCCATCTCCTCGGACGCTTCATCATTATTTAGCAAGGATTGAGCAATTGTTTCCCAGTTATCATCAGTATCACTGCACAAGTTCATTGGAGAACTGAAGATATTAATTTTCCATTTTCAGAAATAAAAGAGCATACACAAAAGGAAAGAAATCCTAAACTCTTGCTTTAATTTTTGCCTGCAGTCTGCAGCAGGGCTTACAACCAAAAATTATGCAAAGAATAGCAGTAGACATAATGACAGAACAATGTAAAGTAAGAATACCTGAAACTTGATATATCACTTGTAGGTGGAGAAGGGCTATTATCACTCTCGACATTGTGGGAAACATTCCACGATGAGAAATCTGAATAGAAAATCATATCACTTCCTTGAAGCGCAGGATAATCAAAATCCATGGCCATTGCTGACACAAAAACGGAGCCTGAAAGATATGCACTGTTTCCTCGTGGACTATTCATGGTCCAATTACATGCCCCAATATCTAAACCTGAACTGAAAGCCTTTATAATTAATGTGCCATTATAGCAGGCTTCTTCGCCATATTTAAGAGCCTGAACCTTCTGCATGCAATCCTTCACATCAGCTGCACTGAGAAACATCCTTTATTACATCCTCAAACACAAATGTTTCGCTGTTCAAAAAATGGACTGATTATAAATGAGAAAGAAAAGTACAGTTTCATAAAGTACATTTAAGAAGCCATGAGTACAAAGGCTGCATGATTGAGATGATTCCTCATGAGTTAAAAAAAATAAGAAGTGATTCCAGCTAGTTCCAAAGATATTTGTGTTATGCCATCGAAGTTCCGGAATATAGATATCAAAAGTATACCAGAAGCATTTTTAAAGTTAAGATATATTAATAATATGTAATATCCTACAAACTTACATCAAACCCACAAAATTATTCTTTGTGCTTTCTCTATTTTTTTTCTCAATTACAGTATCAGTACGTTGAACATGGAATCCCTAAAAATTTTAAATAGATTTTCCAGACACGGCATCCAGGAAGAAATATTCTTCAGATCAAATAAGAAACCTAGGTGAAGCAAACAAACATCAGACTCAGAGACTACAAAATAGAAATGCACTATACCAATGAAATAACTAGGTATAGATCCTAAAATTGCTGTTAGATAACATTTCTAAAATAGTTACATAGAATGATCTAAGTTTACATGCCACAGTAAACGAAATAATAGATAACAAAAAGTTGTCCAGCAAATGAAGTATTATAACCTGTACAATGGCATCCAACCACTAAGCTCGCTACCGTCTTTGCCTACAACTATCTCTTTCAATGCCAACGGAAGCATTTCAAGCTCGTCCCATTTCATCCACCGAGGGAAACCAGACTCATCAGGTCCATAAAACTGCCTCAATTCCATGTTCATTGCAACAAGATCCTCCATCATAAGCTGTCCAATTCTCGCTGTGGCTTCAGTTGCACATATCTGACCCAATTAACGAACCAATTTAAGCATATTGAGACCATTTATGGCGTGAAGGATAAGTTGCAATCAAAACCTAATTTATCAATTCCAGACCATAATTAAAGAAAAGACTGAGACTCTTACTGCTCGAACCGGAAAATACCTTAGCAGAAAAACCCTTAGCGCGAGTCAGAAATGGTAATCCAAGCATGCCCATTGGACTTGAGATCAATACAATATCAATAAAAGAACTATTCCATAAGTGCAAGCTTTTAACAGTTTTGTAATAAGGTTCTGCATGTATCAAACTGCTTGCATCAAGAGGTGCTCCAATTTTGCGCCTCTTATTTTCGAAAGACTCTGAATCCAAATACTTAAGGGCTGAACAAGCAGAAGCTTCAACATCAAGCATGGTACAAGAATCCACAGGAATCGGCGCAAAGACTGTTAGAGCTGAAAGGTCCATAGGGCAATCAAATAATACCCGAAAACCACACACATCGAGTATGTGGCATGGGGGAAATGATAACCCCGACCTTTGCTGAGACATGTCTGCAAAAAATATAACCAATGAATTTTGAAAAAATAAAATTTTAATTAGCGCACACACACAAATAAGCGCAGAGAGAGAGAGAGAGACTTACCAGCTTCATAGAGATGACCAGGAACAAAATTCCTTATTGCAGAGAATAAATGTTGTAACGAAAGGCATTAACCTACAAAGACCATCTTCAATGTAAGTATCGATCAATAGAAAGCAATGAATTCTATTACTCTCAAAAATATCGAGCAAATTCATATCCTCACCAAAATATTCCAATAAAATAAAAAGGTTTTCGGGAGCAATTCTTCCGAACCAGTGTGCTTTGAGGCTGGGTTTCAGGGCTTGGAGCTTGGGTGACGGTTTGGGGATTTCAGGAACGAGGCGGTTGTGGAAGCGGCGAGGTTGAAGAGTGGGTATGAAGAGAGAGACGAGTGATGATGATGCGTGGTTTTAGGGTTCCGTCCATTCACCTTCACGAGGTGGGCAGGTCGGCGGCGAGATTTTTTTGGGAGAATGATGTGAGAAATTGAGAGGGGACTGAACAGAACTCAGCAGGAAAGTAAAAAGGGCAGGGCAGGGCCGACCCGAGTGAAGTCTCAACTCTCAAGCAAAACGCGGGCCGGACTCTAGTCCGGCTAAGCGGGTCATTTTAAGTTTTGGTGGACTATTCATATTCCTTAAATCTTTTTTTTCACTCCATTTACTCATCTTAATTCAAATTACTAAATTTACTTCATCTACACTCACTCATTAGTTACTAAGTTCACTCCATTTATATCGATTCAATTAAATTATTAAATATATGTCAAAAAAACTGAAATAAAAATAATATTTGAAACGAAATTTCAATGTTTCAAGGTGATCTATATTATTCCGAGATGTTTTAAGATATCTTAATACATTTTCACCAATATCTGTAAAATATTTTGAAGTGTTTTAAGATATTTTGACTAATATTTTTAAAATAATTATTAATTTTTATTCTATTTCTGAAATATTTTTGTATCAAAATAACACACTAAAACAAAATTTTTTTCGTTACTTATATAGTAGGTTGAAAAAAAATTAAATGAATTTAATCTTTAATATGGGTTTAATAATTAATGAGGTGGGTATAGATTAAGTGAAATTAGTAGTTTAAAGTGATATGATTAAATGGGATGGGAAAGGAGATTTAAGGAGTAAGAATAGTCTTACCCTTGCTGTCACACCTCATTTCGAGAGACTTATTTGGTATCCCAAAGATGGAAGTATAATTTGACACGTGGCAATACTTGCACATGTAATTCAGGAAAACATTTAAACCAATAATACCAACTAATAATCTCATGAAAGAGATAAATTATACAACTCTATGGCAAAGTGCATAACTGTGCAACTTAAATCAAAACAAAACATTATGGAATCAATCTCTTATATCAATAAATAAACGGACATTCTTGTACAAAAATGTACACAACCAATTTCCTTAACATCTCATCTTGACTCTGCTAGTGTTGTAGTTGATCTAACTCTAAACTTCAGCTTCCTGAAAACAAAGATTTTCTTGAGTGTAATGCACATCATAATAAATGAAAAATATTAAAAATATGAATTAAATATCATATCGCCAAAATATGTTCACAATTTGAGGAGAACGACAAAATCAAAATTTTTCAAGTTACTTTGAAATCTTATAATCACTACCAATATAATAACATAATAAATAGTTCACATGTACTATAAGTCAACAACAACATTTAAGTAATGTCAGACTATTAACAACATCTAAGCAATATCAAGTTAACTACAACATTAACCAATGTTAAGCTGTTTTACAATAATTGTGCAGTGTCCAAATCAACAACATGTGAGTCATGTCAAACTATCAACAACTCTAACATAGTGGATACTACTCAAATTACAAGTTTTTCAACAAATCACAAACTTTTTAATAAATCACAAGCTTTTCAACACAAACATATTTTACCCATTATTTGTTCAACTCAACATAAATCAAGTCATCAAAACTTTATTTTACACAGTAAAATAACTTATATTAGTCATATATTTTTATTTTCAATTATTATGACGCAATACACTTCACTTATCACCGCCAACCAACACACCACACAACTTTATGCTCGATCCCTAAGTGGAATCGATATAATATCTTCTAGACCTAACATAAATTATATAATCATATGTAATGAGTTTCAACTCCAAATAACTTAATGAATGCAAATGTATGCGTATAAGCTTATTTCATTTTTAAGTTTTGTTCGTTCCGGTCCAACTCGACTTAGATCAATACAAACTCCAATCTCATGGCTTATTTTCATAATAACTCAACATAAAACGAAAAGAGTTAGAAAGTAAACTTCTCAAAGTTTCTAAGATAGGTCATAAGTTTAAAACAACCTCTCATAGATCACGTTCTAATTACTTTCTAACAAGTTATCAAATTTAATAAATGTATTGTTTTTAGCTATCTTTAAAGTAAAAACTGTATTTATGCAGGAACAATATGATGTTCTACCATATACCGTTGAAAAGGTCTCTTAATCTAGTTTTCAACAAAATTGACGGTATATCAATTTTTTACAAAAAAGTTATGCTCATTTTTAATAGGGTGTCAAAGTTGTCACGTACAGCCCCAAATCCGAATTTTACAAAATAATTTTCATTGATCCAAACAAAACCAATACATTATATACCACATCCAAACCACAATTTATTTGATGAACTTCCATAAATCCGAATCTAACAATTTTCTTTATTCAGAAAAACTATCAACAAAATCTCAAACTAGCATCATTCCGAAGAATTTAAACCAGTAGATTTGAAATACAAGTCTTCACAAGCAACATACTAACATTTTATAAGAAACAAAGTAACTTTCACCATTGGATTCGAGTTGAAACCCACTTGATTTCCTTCAAAACTACTCCTACTCTATTACATATATAACATGCCCATGAAAATAAATAATCACAACCTTGTCAAACTCTTATGTATATAATTGCACTTAAAAGCAATATATAATACAAAATCCCAATCAATATAGGCCCCCTATTCAAAAAAACAATCAGTAAAATGCTCACATTGTGTAACCAAAAAATCCCAAATTAGAAAAAATGAGAATCCATCAAAACACTATGCTTATTATGGTAATTGAATTTTATATTTCATTTAAAATAACATGATTATACTTACTACCCATATACAAAATAACCATAAAAATAAAAAACCCTCTTAATTTAAAATTGCATGGATTTGAAAACTTCACGTCCAAGAAGGAGCCTCATGACTGCACAATTCACCTCAAAGCCATATCATCACAAAAAAAGAATAAGCCTAGGCCCAATGATCCTAGCATGCCTTCCCCTCAGCAGCCACAACCTTTTTCCCATAAAACCTTAAGCTTTTCTGTAAACAAAATCAAACAGTTAGTGAATCAGTCGACCCATGACAATTAAAATCATAGAAACTATAGAAAAATGACTTAACAATTCATCCAAAATTAATTGAATACACCAACCTTACTAACCTAGATAATTGAATGCATAAAACCTTGTAAGAGTTGTCACAAAAGTCATTTTACATGTGTTTGAAAACCACAACTATGAATCAAGCTTCAAGTTTAGAGTTTGCTATACCAAAATGTGTTGCATTAATTTATAATTGAATAATAGCCCTTTCGGTGCAACAAAGAGACCAAAAAAGTGGTTCCCAATATGATAGAAAACTAAAATTTGACATTCTTTCTGGTACTTCGATTACTTAGCAATGTTTTTAGTAGTTGTTCACTGTTCTACGAAAAAGAAAGCTTTGTTTCTTATTAAAAAAGACCATAGCAATTCACTGTAATATAACACATAATCCTACCATATTAAGGAACATATGCATTTGACCAAAACAAACAAATAGAGATAGAAATGGAAGCAAATGCATTGTAATTTATGTTAGGATCTTTGGACATGATCTACATGTTTTGGTAATAATACAGGTTCATATAGTGTTATTAGGTGAAGTTCGATTCACAAATACTAAAATCTGTATTTTGCTGATGTTCTTTGGAATATTGATTTTGGAGGGATCATTCGTTAAATTTGTATGATCACCCTTTTTCTACATGGCATCAGTCACTTGAAGGAAATACACTTTCATAAACTCAGCTTCATTGTGATGTGTCCTTCTGACCGTAATGCTCACCTTCACCAGAAAGAACAGTACAAACATATATATGACACTAAACATCAAGGCATTTGTGAGCTTAAATAGCATGCATATCACCAAACACAATCAAACAACAAGAATTGGACTCCACACCATCTCTTATTGCATATACAAAGTAAAGGGGACCACTTTCTTATAAACCCACTACATAGAACACACACACACACACACAAAGCGCAAGAAATTAGATAGAAGTTCTCATTAGTTCACAAATAAAAAATTGGTATTTTGATCAACGATTGAAGTTTCCATTGAGAATTTCAATAATTTTCTTCTTTGCTCTATAGTTTGACCAATACATGGTCATCATCAGTTTTTATCGAATTGTCCCAAGAGGAGGAGGAGGAGGATAGCTTCTACTCATAGATCACAAATTGGTGAATTAAGAGCAAATAAAAGGCCAATCAGCAAACTGAAATTTGTTGGAGCATGCATAAAGTCCTCAATCAGCGGAAAGGGGAACTACAATTAGAAAAGAAATAGGATTGATAATCAAACAAAATCACAAACTTGAACAAATTTGTAATCATAATCACAAATAAAACAAAAAACGCATTTCGCAAAAAAAAAATTGAAGAGAAAGAGGGAGAAAGAGAGTTACTTGAGATGCTACCATGGGGGGGAGAGGGAGGGTGGCATGTTGGTGCTGCCGTGGCTCGCCATTGCCGTTCTTGGCAACAAGGATTTGTATTGACACAAAAGTCTCTTACTTGAGAGGAAGGAAAAAGAAGAGTTGTAATTTTGCTACATATTTTTCTGTCTTCCACAATGTACTCCTGGCAACCATC